AATTAAGTAATCAAATTAATCAACTCAATTAATTAATTATCCAACACTTGTCAATTAATTAATTGATAAATCTCATTTTTCTGATTTTATTTTGTGTGTGACCCATTAGGTTCCCGATCACGATATCCAATAACGTGAATTATTATTTTGATCTAATCAAAATTGATAAATTAAAATACCTCTTTTAATTTATCATCAATTCACATTCATCGTCCCAGATTGACATCTAGTAATGTGTCAGGGCAATACATGTGACGGAAAATATCACGTGACATGACAAAACCAAATTTGTTCGCTTACCGTGAAACTATAATCTTTTCGTCAATATGATTCAATCAATTATGAGATATGGATATGTGTCAATCTCAATTATCGATCGGATCTTTTATCCCACTGTTAAGTTAATATAAGTCGAAAACTCCTTTTCAACTTATGAGTTCACCTTAGCCAAGGATTTCATTATCAACTTAACTATATAAAATGTAGATCATAATCTCTTACTATCTAATAGTGACGAATCCTCTATTAATCATTCACGGCCTTCATATGATTCTTGACATACCCGAACGATGATGTATTAGCGACCATTGGCAGAGCAACATCCAATATCGCCAAAGTATGACTGTCCTCATATAAGGTAATATGATTACCTCAAGTCAAAAGACCAATTCCACTATCGAACGTTAGAGATTAATCACTGACACTCAAATAGTTATCCATATATATAGAATCTCCCAACGGGTCTTCAATATTTTGTGAGATCAGCTACTTACTTCACAAGTAAGAAATGTCATACATAATGATCTATCCGTAATAACGATATCGGTATCTCGTTATTATATATGATCACTGATGATTTAAGATTCAGTCATATGTAATTTATATCTCACAATCATAACTCCTCGTGATTAACAAATTACTAAAACTTGAATCTACGGATTCTATTATTTAATTTATTAGAATATTAATTCAATTAAATAATAGATATTGCCATATATATGCATTGATTATATATATTCAAAGTGTTTATGTCCAAAGTTGATTGGACCTAGGGCATAACACTTACAAAAATTATATATATTAAAAGTGTTTATTTCCAAAATTGATTGAACTTAGAGCATAACACTTACAATTTTAATATATTCCTCAATATTTTGTTTGACCATTTTATTGAGCGCAATAGGTTAAATTAAGCAATTAGACAAAATAACACATAAATAAAGTGATCAAAATCTACTTAATTTGTGATCTTTTCCTCATCCAATAGGTCTCTAAATAGTTTATCTTCATATTTCTCTACATCACATCCCCTCGGACACTCACAATGATCCTTTCTCTTCTCATCTATAATACATGCTCTTCCCATTAGGAACATGTTCTTGTATAAGAAACTTGCTATTATCTTTGTGAGTATGAGATATCAAAGAATTTGTTCAAATGGGAAGAATGCCGTCAAGGACAAAAAACTAAGCTGCGAAAGAGATTGATAATAGAGAAAACTCGGGAGTTGAAGTACTTTGAAGCAAGACCTTTAAAAAAAAAAAAAAAAAGTTCGATTCATATATTTTTGGTTTTTTACTGTATATGTCTTGAGAAAAGAATTTTTTAAAAATAGATTAAAATAATAAATTAGTATACGAATATTGTTATAAGTTTCTTATTGCCATCCAAATATGAAAGCATTAGCATTAAAGTATGAGATACTAAAAGAGATGAAAAGCTATTCAATAACATGAAAATTACTAAATCTCGGTTTTTAGGGTGTTAATGGAGACATTGAGTTATCAACTGATAAAGCTTGCACTCTAGAAAGCAACTTAAAACTAAATTAATTTATCTTTGTGAGATGTTTAATCCTCTTTTTGCAAGATGTCTCACTTTACGAGATGTCTATTCATCGCCCACGGATTTTTATTCCTCTCTTTAATGCGATTATTACTTATTCTTAGCTTCGCGAAATGATTGTTAAGTCTCAATAGATGAGACAAGCTAATATCATAAGTGGGACTCGTCTTCTTTAATTTATATGAGATGATTATTCTAGTTATTCTTTACTCTGTGAACTCACGTTGCGAGATGATTATTTTGTTTATTCCTTACGTCGTGAGATTATTGTTAAACCTTGACAAGGGAGCCTTGTTATTTTTTTTCAAGTGAAACCAGTCTCCTTTGACTTACACGAATCAACTCTACTTATTTCTCATTTCGTGAGATTATTGTTACTCGATATAGGAGCCACGCTAATATCCCAAACGAGACTTGCGTCATTTGACTTACACGGGATAATCGTTCTATTTCTCACTTCATGAGATGTCTCGCACCGTGATTCGCGAGATGATGATTTTATTAGCCTCAACGTGGTAGACAAGCTAATATTCCAGGTGGAACTTGCCTCTATAACTCACTAAGATGTTTTATGAAGCCTTGACGGGGAGCCAAGCTAATATCCTAAAAGAGACCTGTCTCCTTTATTTCCTCTATTGAGAACATTGAGTTTTATAATTAAAGATGTTAAATGTACTGAGATCCTATTTCAAAGTTTTATTTTTTATTTTTTAACCCACTACAAAAATTACCGTGGTTTGGAGTATTTTTCTCTAAGTTTTTAACCAGTATAAAACACGTTTTATCCCACAATCTGTATATTTTCTTGGTAACTTCTATGGAAAATTTTATGTCAGTAACAACTTCTTTCAATCTAAATGCGAGCACGCCCTATCAAGATGGAAATTGCATATTCGAGCCACGTCAATCCTGATGGATCTGGTGAATACATCAATTAATTTCTCCATTTCTAAAAGGCTGTTAGAGCGCTTACAAGCATTATCAGAAATGGAAATCCCCAAAACCTTTCGTGGCAAAGGATTTATAAAGTGCCTAAATAATTGATGGAGTTGTACAATCCACCGCCTAAAAGAACTACGCTTTGACAAAGAAATCCTAAAGAAATTGTTCTTGCAGTCCACATCGAAACAACATCTTATCCCTAGATGTCTAATCAATTGATGTGCAATACATTTCATGTAGAATTAGCTAGCGTTTGATTCAAGTGGCAATTCACCGTTTGTGTAAAGAAAAAAAAAAGCTTCAAAAACCATTATTCATTAATCAAAATCGATGTTCTATTTTATTTCAATTGGGTTACTTTTAACAAAAACAAAAAGAGCTTCCAATTATAGGATAACATTCTCTATTAGGTAGGAATAAAAATTTAGATTTAAATTAAAATTAAAATCAATATTTAATTATAATAACATATTTTAATCATCACCAAACATGTGCTAATTATTATTATTATTTTTTTTTTTTGGAAGAGATAATTTAAAATGAAAAATGATTTTATGAAGAATATGTTGTTAAAAATAGAGAAAGTTATGATACTATGTGCTGCATTATTTAATTGAATATATATATTGTGTACGAAACAACGCTTGATGAGGGTAGATATGTCATTCAGTGGTCATTAGTCATAATAAAAGTCAAAAAGGTAAGAAAAGGAAGCCAGGGCGATTCCGGTATTTCAAAAGCCACTCTCTTATAACAAACGGCTTTATAAATGTAATCTCTTTAGCTTTGCCTCTCACAACGAGAAAAAAGAGAGCAACTGAAAATACTCATTTATAGTTTTAGAGAGATAAACCGAAGATTCTGTGAACTCCATCCTGAAAAGTAAGTTTTTTCACACACAATTTGTATCTATTGGAATTTTTTATAATTTATCTTCATAATCCCTCTTGTTCATGAACCCATAATTTTCCCGATTCACATCAATTGGAGATGCTCTTCTCTGCACTCTATTTTGCTTGGCACATGTACAACAATTCACGTTGTTGTTGAATTAGAGATTCTCTGAGAAGCTTTGAACAATCCGAAGTTACAATATTTTAGGTTCACATTTGTAGCTTTATTCCTTAGATTTTCTTTAATATTCATTTGATTAATATAATATAACCATAATCTTCTTTCAATGAGCTCGATATTGACAATTTTTATTCTTCAGTTTTATGCATTTGTTACATTACATATGAAACAGTGGATGAGTTGTTGATGTTTTTGTGAGAACAATAATTTCTTGGTAAATTATTCAAGGAATCTATTTAATAAGGATCCAGAAACTGTGAATATATATTCTTTTGGTTTCTTTTATAGCAATAATAAAATAAATTAAATTACACATGCCCGGCTCTCGATTTTTTTGTATTTGGATCCATCTTTTGTTAATCAGTAGTCTATTATATTCAAGAGAATAATAATATTCTTTTATTTAGTGGGTGTTTGGTGGTGATTAAAATTATATTTTTAATATATTCTGGTAGAAGTTTTTGAAATGTGTGGTTGAAAAGTTGTGGGATTCATGAAAGATGTGGTTAATATTGATTGTTTGTCTTTTACTTAGATTAAAATTTGATTTTAATTCGAAATAAACAATGCTTTTAGAGGGTGTTTGGTGAGGATTAAAATTAGATTTTTAATGGATTGTGATAGAAGTTTTTGAAATGTGTGATTAAAAAGTTGTGGGACCATGAAAGAGAGTTTTGCTAGACGAACATAATGATTGACATAGAGGATGACACCCCACACACACATGGGGGAGGTTGGCATTATTTAATGCAAGTCAAGACCCACATGCAATGTGAGAGGTCGGTCAACCTATATGTCAAGCGTTATGTTCATTTAACTTAATTCCATGAAAGATATGGTTAATATTGATTGTTTGACTTTGATTTGGACTCCGGACCAAACAGGGGGGCTTAATATTGGCGGAGTTGGAGGGTGAAAATGAATCTATCTGTCTTTTTTTTTTTTTAAATAATAATTTTTTATTCATAATAAAGGCTCACTTGTGACGGAGGAATCTATCTGTCTTATTTCTGAACTTTGTACAAGTTTCTACATTGTTCAAGATATCTAATGTTCAGATATTTTTCCGGGTTTCAGGTTTTGAGTTCTGGTAATAAAAGGTGGTTTTAAATTCTTTTTCGAGAAAATCTAAACACGAAATGAAGCCTTTGATGGGTTCAATTGCTGAGCCAGTCCAAGAAATAACAGTCAGCAAGCCCCCAGGAATTCGATTTGTGGAGTACATAAAAAAATCGGCTATTTCTTACCGAACCTATCAAGCCATTGTCCTAATAGTAACATTTTTCGCGTACACAGCCTACCACGCTGCGCGAAAAACTACCAGCATTGTGAAAAGTGCACTTGATCCCCAATCACCAGATGTGAACTTGAAATCACCCTTTTCTTGGAGGAGGGCTTATGCACACAAGCCATTAGAAAGCAGTAGAAATTCATGGGTGCTTGGAGCGGGTTGGGAACCATTTACTGGTTCCGATGGTACATCGTTGCTCGGGGAACTTGATGTGGGCTTCCTTTTTGTTTATGCTATTGGAATGTTCTTCTCCGGGCACGCAGGTGATCGGATAGATCTTAGACGATTTCTGACTATAGGAATGGTGGGAACTGGTTTATTCACTGCTCTATTTGGAGTTGGATATTGGGCAAATGTCCATATCTTCTATTACTACTTAATAGTCCAAATTCTTGCTGGATTGTTCCAATCGACTGGTTGGCCTTCTGTGGTTGCAGTCGTAGGTAATTGGTTTGGCAAGAAGAAGCGAGGACTTATAATGGGTATTTGGAATGCTCACACATCGATTGGGAACATTACAGGGTCTATGATTGCTTCTGTTTTGTTGACATATGGATGGGGTTGGTCAATGGTTGTTCCTGGTCTAGGTATAACTTTTGTCGGGATAGTCGTATTTCTTTTGTTGCCGGTGAGTCCTGAATCCGTTGGAGCTGGTATAGACGATGATGATCTCCCCTTTCCGAAAAAACTAGGTGAAGAAGTCAAAGAACCTCTGTTGAAATCAGAGGTCGAAGAGGAGTCAGCTGTTGGGTTTTTAGAAGCATGGAGAATTCCCGGGGTCGCTCCTTTTGCCCTCTGCCTTTTCTTTTCTAAGTTGGTGGCTTACACATTCCTTTACTGGCTTCCTTTCTACATTAGCCACACAGGTACACAAAATTCTCCAATTGAACTCTTAAAAATATATTGATTCATATCCTCTTAAAACTCACTGTCTTCTGTATTCACGATGCAGCTATTGAGGGAAGGTATGTGTCCAACGAGGAATCTGGCACTTTATCTACATTGTTTGACGTTGGAGGAGTGGTTGGAGGGATCCTGGCCGGCCACATTTCTGATCGGTTAGATGCACGGGCCATAACAGCCGCAAGTTTCATGTACTGTGCAATCCCGGCTCTGTATTTCTACAGAAGCTACGGACACGTTTCCATGACTGTGAATATCATTCTCATGTTGATCACTGGCATGTTTGTGAATGGACCATATGCACTTATAACAACTGCAGTTTCGGCTGACCTGGGAACACACAGCTCTTTAAGAGGAAATTCCAGGGCCCTAGCCACAGTCACGGCTATTATAGATGGGACAGGTTCCATTGGGGCCGCCTTAGGTCCACTTATAACGGGATACATTTCAGCCAAGAGCTGGAGTGCAGTATTCACAATGTTGATGATATCAGCTCTAATAGCTGGCTTGCTTCTAACGAGACTCGTTGTGGCCGAGGTGGCTGCAAAGATTCACTCCAATAGGTATAGGCCTTCTACACTTGTATGATTTCGAGATTCTTTTTTCCATGTAAAAATCCGTCTCAAGTTGACTTTGATATCCCAAGAGATTATGGACGAAGAGAACCCGGGATCGAGATAGGAGGAGGTGTTTTACACAAATTGAAATTTAAAATAAAGGAAAGAAGTGGCACTTCCCTTAAAAGTGCATTTTATGTAGATTCTTGTTTGCATTCAACCTGTAAAAGCCAGAAGAAATGGCTACCTTATCATTTGTAACTTTTCATTTGTTTTGTATATAGAAGAAGCTTGTGAAACAATAATTTCTTAGTGCTGCTAGAGAAAGATGTCATATACAACCTTTGTTGGCAACTACACACTTGACACGATAACGTCCTTCCATTTTAAAAATTGTTAAAAACTATTTCTCATATTAGTGGTCCGAATTTTGACAATATATGATTGTGAATCAAGGTTGTTATCAATTATTTTACATTTTCTGGAAAACCCAGAAGCGGATATTTCCTTAAGGGTCGTTTTACATTTTCAACTTGTACTTTTCTCACCAATACGAAAGCAGCAGAAATTGTTTATTTATTTTTCTTTTGTTCAGTTGAATAACACGCACCATGCTTTGTTCTCGAACTAGGTGACAGTTTTAGGCAGGACTTCTGCTTTAATTATTTGAGTCTGTTTATGCACCCATTTTCAAATAAAGCGTTTCCACATAAATTTTGTTACAATTTCGAATTGACTGTCGTGTATACTTGTTTTAATATTCCTATAGTGATCCACTCAATCTCCCATTTTGTAATGTTGATATTTAACATCAATGGAACAATGACCACATTGTCACGTAATTTGATGCTTTATATCTTTGCCTCCAAGAAATATATTTGAATGGTTAAATTTCTCAAAATGTTCCATTCAAACCCCCGAAATGATGTGCCAACTCGTAAAATTTACTAAAAATCCTGACTATTGGATGCCAAGGCACACAAACACGTAGAAATTTTCAGTTAAAAAGTGGACGGTCGAATTGAATCTGTAATTTGAGTAAAGCATTTTATAAAGTTTAGTAATGAATTTGAAACGAGTTAGGTCACTGACAACCAATTAAATCAACCCCATAATTGAATGTAAGAGGAGACTTATTAATTTGTTTGAACTAAGCCAACTAATTTGGTCCCATATATTGTGGAAAAAACGGCCAGCATTTGAAAAACGCACATCCAAAAGTCGATAACATCTTTTAAAATGTCAAAAATAATAACTATTAAATACAACTTATCAATAAAGCACAAGATTTCAAAGAAAAATTACCTTCTACCGAGAATTGTGGAAGTCTAATGAACTGCAAAGTGAATAAAATTAAATTTTTCAAAACGAAATTATATGATTTTCTTATGAATTGAAAGCATATAATTATTTTTTAATATTAATGACTTTTCTACTTCATCCTCTTCACGTTTTTCCAAAATTTTTGGTTAATATCTAATAGATAATAAAAGCAAATAAATCCATTAGGTATTAGATAGCATTAATGTAGCTTCTCATGAAAGCTACTTGTTCTTTTCGAAATTCGTGATAAATAGAAAAAAAATGTTACTTTTCTCATTGAGGGGAAAATAGACAATTTGGTACCTAATTTGATCATTTTTGCAAGAATTGTCAAAATTAGATACTTTTCAATTGACAAACATTGAATTGACCATTTTGTAAATTCCCTATTGTTTATTTATTTTTCTTTTGTTCAATTGAATAACACACACCATGCTTTATTCTCGAACTAGGTGACAGATTTTGGCAGGACCGCTGCTTTAATTATTTGAGTCTGTTTATGCACCAATTTTTAAATAAAGCGTTCCACCATAAATTTTGTTACAATTTCGAATTGACTCTTGTATTTATGTTAAAGACGTGTATACTCGTGTAAGTTAAGTAACCACTAGTTTTAATATTCCTATAGCGATCTCCCATTTTATAATGTTGTCATTGTCACATAAATTGATGCTTTACACAACTTTAGATCTTTGCCTATAAGAAATATATTTGAACGGTTAATTTTAACTAATGAGCACTGAAATTTGCACTTAGTGACATCTTGGCTTACTATACTTTAATTTGTTAAGACTCGTCGTCAAGCTTTTCAAAATGTTCCATTCAAACCCCCGAAACGATGTCCCAACTTGTAAAATTTACTAAAGTCAAAAAATGGACGGTCGAATTGAGTCTGTAATTTGAGTAAAGCATTTTATAAAGTTTAGTTATTTAATTTGAAACAAGTTACGTCAGTGACAACCAATTAAAATCAACCCCATAAAGTTAATTTGTTTAAACTAAACCAATTTGGTCCCATATATTTGAAAAACGCACATCCATAATTGAAATGCACAACTGCGTCAAGCAACAACAATCGTTTCTGGTTTGTAGAAAATAGAATTGTGGATAAGGTACAGCGTAGGCTTTTGAAAAGGAGTATTAAAACCTGCAATTTACTTTCATTAACATCAATCGTTTTCCAATTATCTTATCTAGTCCTATACGATACTAATCGTGGGTGAATGTGCACGCACATACAAACAATCATGTGCAATAGTAACTTCCGTCATTCAAGAAGAAAGACTTCGCCTAATTCTTTTGAATCCCAGCCAATTTTTCCTTTGAAATGAACTCTTCCATAATTGCTTTATTTGTGAACTATTATTTGTTTTCAATAGGAGACGGTGCGATGTCTTGGGGAAGTAGACAAGTTTTAAATTAGGTTGACTTTCAACCAGAACAATCTATGAATGTTGACTTGGAAAATAATAAGAAAGCAAGAAGCCAAACAGCAAGAGAACATTTTCTCCTGGTAGTGAATACCAGCAGAAGCAAATGCAGTATCAAGATTTGGACAATTTCACACTTGTGCAGCTTTAGTTAAGCAACCTTTGATTTTCTATAACTGAGAAAGCAGCTATAATAAGATCTAGATGTCATGGCTTACAATTAACATCACCAATCAAACAACAAACTTGTACTCAATCGCCAAAAAATCAATATGTACCACATCCACAACTAGCGATGAATAGCAAGTGATAAATGGTCAGTTTTCCTTACATTTGAGCTTTGCAATGGCTTTGTTTGATTCAGTAGGCTCGTCGTAGTAAAGGTATCTTCTCCAGATTACATTTTATTTTTTGGTTGAGGTAGTATGAACTTCAGGAGATAAAAAATTCAAAATCCCATTTCCCTCATAACCTTTTGTGTAATTTTTCAATGGATTAGTAAATAAACTGGTAGGGGTCTGCCAAACCGTCCTACCTAGCCACAAGTGAAATTATCAGAAAAAATAAAATAAAAATACTGCATTTCCCTCAAAGTTTCAGAATTTAATATTCTACAATCTAGGGAAAATGAGATTCTACTTTGCAGTGATCTTTAATCAACCTTGTGAATCCGTGCTTACACGAATATTTTTTCTGGAGGATGATACACAGCAACCAGAAGTGGCTTGCTGAACAGAGCAAAGAGCATCGTCATGCTCAGAAATTTAATATTATTGAAGAGAAGGGTATAAACTTCAGTGTAGGTATTCCTTCATATCCATACCCTGCTTAAATGAACTCTTTTCAACTGCTTCAGTAGTATATACATCCTTCCACTTGTTGTACTAGATTTCTATGATTAAATATGAAGAACCTTTGATCCAAGCATGGAAATCTTTATACTTATTCTAAGATCTTGCCTATAGTTGATTTATTTAAAGTGAAGTTATTCTTTGGTAATATCATCTGCTCCTGTGCAGGGGTATCACAGCCACCATGCAAACTTAAATAGATTAAGATTAGTAGTTCCAAATTTACTATCAGCTTACAGTGTCCTGACTACTGAATTAAAATTGTAATCAATTCAATGTTATTACTTGTAGGACTTGATTTGAGTCACGTGCCTGGTTCTCTACCATAAAACGATGGTCTCTCTGGCCTCAAAATGCCCATATTTCCTGTAAGGTGTGTGAGAAATCACAAGTTATAAGTAATACTAGAGAATAAGGATCAACCATATACCTAATTAAGATTTAACGATGTAACTATAAAATACTAATATATTTTTGAATCCAGAAAGATTAAATCCTTGTAAAGACAAGAATTACAAAGAATACGCCAACAATTTCTTCTTAAACAAGATAGATTACCAATGAAGATGTAAAGAAATCAAAAAGTACAAACATAAAAAAAGAGTGAAACATTTTGATCAACCAAGAAAATTCTGCAGACAACGAACCATGTAAGAGAAGATACTTGTAAAAGAAAGATACACAGCTAATAAGAAATTCCAAAGTACTATGGGTTAGTTGCAATATAATGCAAAAGCTGGATGGAAGATATACTCCTATAGAGGTGAAGGGATGTATTACAGGAAAGTTGATTACTAGTGTAATCCAATAGAATGCACCTCAACAGAAGGAGCTGCCTCAATTGAGTGAGGAACATGTCTCATAGCACGCCTCATTACTTTGCTTTGAGCGCGAGCAAAAGTTTTGATTGACCCACTTTGAGAATATCATACTGTCCCACTAAAACAATAAAACATTGTGTTTCCCACAGGCCAAGTTTGGGAATAGTCCATTGCTCAACCAACAAAAGTAATAGTTTATTTTTGCTACTTATAGATTTTTCTATTGTTTGTTTGCATTATTGACATTTATTTGTTTTATGGGAGGCTTAAGTTCTGCCTCATGAAGGAGCATCATTACCCGGTTTTTAACATTGAATCTGTCCTTCACTGTATCATTTGTTAATTTATAGGAGAGATGAATAACTATACATATTTGAAAATTTTCAAGTTCCAAATAGTAATCACTTTCTAATTTGAATTACATTTTACCTAATAAGCCTAGCTCATTGTGACTTTGTTTGTTTTCTGTCCAATTAGATCAGATTCTTCCACATACAAACTTTCCGGGTCTTGAAGATTCAGCTAGATCTAGCTTTCCACATCATGCCCAAAATCCTGATATTAACATGGAATTTTCTTGTTTGTTTTGATATATTTCTCAGAATC